TCTGTCCTTTCCATGTAAATGAGCATAACCTATAAATACTAAATAGAAGTGGCGGCGGCAGAACATTAAGATTCTGTCCCTCCTTTCAACCCTTGTGTTCTACTGCTCTCCCTTCTCTTTCTGCTCTCTTCTCTATACTTTTTCTTCTATTTTCGAACCTGAAATCTATTAGGGTTCAAGGCTGATAGCAGTCTTGAACATCTACTATAACAACTTACTCTAAGAGAGATAGAGAAGAGGCTGAAGGTGGAAGATCATGCTTCTTCCTTTGATATACAAAAAGATGCCATGCATCAGTATTAGTGGAAGGATAAAGAACAAAGTCAGCAACGTCAAAATCATCCAAAACAGCAATAGTGGTAGAGGATTTTCCAATTGATGCAAAATAATAGATGTTCTAAAGAAACATTACATTCCAAGAGACACAAATATGATTGGTCACTAGTGTCATAACTCATAACACATAAAATCCTTGTGGTTAGAACTATAACCAACAAACACATATAGTCCTGATTGAGAAGATAATTTAGTGCATTAAAGATGAGGAAAATAAACAAAAAAGACAGCAAAGACAAGAGAAATCTGGCAAGCTATTATCTAGTAACTAAAATGGAGAGGAATTATCAAGATGAGGAAAAATAAGGCAATTGATGAGATGCACAGAAATTAAGGTAGCCTCCACCCAAAAGGTAAGGGGTATCTGGGATTATTGTAGGAGAGTTCAAACCGTAACACTCCAAGATGTCTATTTTTCCTCTCTTCCACCTCATTTTATTGTGGTGCTCCCGGACACAATTTTTGCAACTAAATACCTTGGATCGTCATATATGATTGAAATTTCTCATCACAATATTCTCCCCCTAAATCTAGATGAAAGATATTGATTCTTGCACTAAATTGGGTGGTAACCATAGCATGAAATATTTTAAAATATGGAAACACCTTAGATTTCATTCTTAAAAAAATACACTCATGTATATCTAGTGTAATCATCAATAAACAGAAGAAAGTATCTATATCCTACATGTGACAAAACAGGTGAAGGTCCCCAATCATCAATACATGATTTATCAACAACTTTAAAGGAACTTTATTAATCAAAGAATACCACAGAAAAAAACTGGAAAATTTTCTGGATCTAAAATATAATTTTCTTGACTAAACAAAAGCATAAAGCAATGGTTGAGGCAAGTCCTGATACCCAATATGATTGATAATCCATTTCAAGAACTTCTGACTATTGACTGATGTCTTCTTCAACTTCCTAGACACAGCAACCCTCTTTCCTTGATTAGATTACTCCTTAGTAACCCTGCTCTTATACTATGAAAGTTATAGCCTAGCTTTAGAGATCAGAATTAGCGTGATAGTGGAACAAAGGAAGAAGGAAACCTAGACTTCAATATACAGGGTGTATCTCATGATCAGCCCCCCCCCCCCTTCCCACCCAAAAAGGAATCAAGTATCATAAGTTAAAATGTTTACTATTACAAGTAAGTCCCTAAGATGGACCAAGAAGCAAACATATAAAGTAAAGATAAAAACAAAATAAAGGAAACACATGATATGATACATTGGGACCACACTAATATGACACACCACTACTTAGAAAATCATCTTCCCTACAGGTAAAAGTAACTTAACCCCAAACTACAAGGGGTGAGTTAATTAATAGGTAAATCCAAGGAAAGGTCTCTAAGTATTTGACTAAAACCCTAGGGGACGTATAAGTAATTTACCCTAAAAGGAAATGCAGTTTTAAGCCCTACCAACAAAAACAAATCCAACAAGGTTGCAAGAAGAAAACTAAAGCAAGATCATGATCTTGCAATGCAGAGTCAAGAAAGGAAGTAAAATGTCTTGTAAATTCTTTCATTGTGAAGAGAAAAGACATTTAACCAATGAACATCCACATAACGGTAAAAAACTAAAAAAGGTCATATAGAAGACATCTATAAGTGTCCATCAGTCTCCATCTGCTGTTGTATCCAGGTTGATTCAAATACCTCCTCAGCTGTGCTGGCAACTGTATCAAACCCAATATATGCAAAGAAGACCGTTGCAGACCCAGCAAGCATCCCCTTGACTCCAAAAGGAAAATAGCTGAGTAATTCAAAAGCATAAGAAAAATCAAGCTTCCATCAAAGAAAGACTTCATCCATCAAAATAAAGTATATGAAAATGGCTTTCTGTTACCCGCTAGGAAGTTTATATCCAGGCCATCCGGTCTTGAAACCCAGATATCCACCAACTATTATGACAAAAACCATGACACAGACATTTGCTAATGTAGCAATGGATTGAACAAGTATACTCTGCAAGAACAAGTGTTAAATAGGAAGCAGATAAACATTCTTTTTTGACATGTAGAGGACATTTTGTTAAGAAGATACCTCCTTGATTCCTACACATAAGAGCCCAGTAACTATAAGAATTAATACTGCAGCACATGGATCAACCACTAAATCAAGCCTAGAAATGTATACACGAGCTAAATAAGCTGGAAGATGATCCTCCCCTCCAAAAAACAATGCCTGGAGAGAAAAGGGAGAAAGTATTCTCTTCATAATGAGTAAAGTTTCTCCAAAACCTTTTGCAACATAAGTTAAACATGCAGAAGTGTAGGCAACAAATTTCAAACGAAACCTAATGCATTACTTCGGGTCTTTTTCTATTTTAAAATAGTGAAATTGTAAAAGCATAGAACTGCTCAACTAAACCTCATCTTCCGACATTTTTTCACCATGGCATGTGCCTAAGTAGGTTTATACTACAATTCAAATATAAAAAAAAAAATACTAAGAATCTAATCCAACATCCTACTGAAATTATTCTGCTTAAGGTATTTGATCTCAGGAACCTCCACTTAAGACTCCTGCTTTATTGTGCAAATGATTTGTTAACACTTCCAAAGGGATAGAACAGTACTATTTGTGACAATTCTGGAATAAATCCTAATAATGACAGATTTGTTGGGGCTTCTGGTGAGAAATCAATACAACCCTCAACCATAGATGCATCTCCTGCCAGAGATAATGACGCCATTGGTCCTGAAACATGCTACTAATTTTATATGCAAAAACTAGGACCAATTGGAAGGATGACTTTCTTAAATTCATACAACAGAATGGCATCACCAACATTTTCAATTTTTCTAGAAAAAGTTCTTAGGACTGTATAAAAAGATACCATCTCATAAGCAACATAAAACCATCTTCTATAATAGGCACAGCAGTAACAAATAAACAGATGTGCACAACTTTAGAGAGAAAGGACAATAATTAGGGGGAGAGAGAGAGAGAGAGGAAGAGAGAGAGAACAGATCCTTTAGTAAACAGACATCATGAGCAAACAAATTATTTAAATGGAGAAAAAGCAGCAAATACCTAAAAAAGATTTATAAAAATCATTAAGAAAATAATTGTAAAGAGAGAGTTTGTAGAAGGAAGACATAATTCACCAGATTTGGAGATATGCCTCGAGCAACAGCTGAGCCACTTATAGTGTATTCCAGTATGAGAGCCCAACCAATCAACCAAGCAACACTGAAACCATTTAGAAAACTAAAATAAAATAAAATAAAAAACTGAAAACAAATTGAAGTCCCCTAGGTCATTGGTTTTGCCATTTTAACCCAAAACCTCTCTTGGCATGAAATGCTTATGTAAGCAATTATATAGAGGTTAGAAGACTGAAATGATCTAGGAATTTCTATATTTACCCTTCCCCAATACATATGTATGAATAATGATAGGCACTTCCAGCTGATGGACAACGACTTGCAAGTTCTGCATAGCAAAAAGCTGAAAGAGCAGCTGCTTTTCCACCTATTAGAAAGGAAATAGTAAGGGAAGGTCCTGTTTGCTCTCTAGCAACTGTTCCAACGAGAACATACACTCCAGCACCAACCGTTGATCCAACACCTAATAATAAAGTGAAAGTTCAACAGTAAGAAAATATATGAATACCCAACTCAGACGGATAAATGCAGGCAAGTCAGTGGCAATGTGGTATGATTAGAACTTTGTCGTACTATTTGAGAATTATAACTTTCAAGTCTGACTACACCACAACTCAAACCATTCCTACTCTGTACAATATTTCTAATACATTGGTTGTTCCATCTGTATCTGTTACACAAGAAAAACTAGCCACAGAGTACCAAACTACCCACCAACAAAGCAATATGCTTCACCATGAAAAAAGGAGGAACTCAATAAAGAGAAGAAAGGAAAAACAAACTCCAAAACTGCATAATGGCAAACAAAAGCTTCACATCAATCTAAAACAACAAATCCACCCATCTTTGGGGCAGGAAAAAAACAAATTCAACAATGATGCAGAGAACAAAATCCAGAAAGAAAATTCGAAACAACCACCCAAATGTGTTGAAGTCAAAGGCAATCCAGAAAAATAATAACAATAATAATTCGGGTATACAATCCCAACAAGACGAGTAAAAGAGAAGAAACCCATTAATATAACCATCGAAGTCATAGCAAAGAAACAACATATAAGTGGAGAAAAACAATGACACACTCACCAATGGCATTTTAACAAAAGAAATCAGATAAAAGCAATGAAATAAATCAAGTAAAGCTGATAGTTCAGCTCCCCGATCCACTTTCAATGACTAAATAAAAAATGATTACCAATTACAATAAGCTGAAGAATAGTTAATTCCTTAGCCAACTGTTGACCCTCTGTCCTCACATGAACCGAATCAACCTGCTTTCTCCTCAAAACACATCGAATTCCCCATGAAGAACCTCCTCCATCTCCACTACGACAACCCATTTCAGAATCAACCACACGCCCCATCAATTCACCAGCTTCTCCTCCCCGTCCACTCCTCACACAATCACCAAAACAGGGTTGATTTGGGTACAACCCAACACCCAACCACCCGCCCACTTGTCCTGAAATCCTACAAAATTCAAACCTCTTTCAAGGAAAGCGGCGAAATTAAGTAAAATAAAAGGCATAAAAAATCTCACCCGAACCCGGAAACAGGGGAGGGAGAAATAGGAGAAGCTGAAGCAGAGGGTCGTCCGTGCATGAAAGCTCCTAACTATTTCACCCTGCCCGTTGCCCGCATACTCCAGACGCAATATATGGAGAAGAAGGCAAGAACCCGAGATGCTGCCCGATCTGACCGGGATTCTCCAAGAGAGACTATCTATAAGCAAAAGAGATGTTCAAAGAAGTGTAAAAGATCCCTAGTGGAGTTCGGATATCCTCTCACATAATTATTGGTCCTCATACAAGTGTCCAATGTAGGAGTTTGACTGATTCATAAGCAATGATCACAACCAAGTTTAGGAATGTCTATGTTGAGTTAAAATAAAAAATCGCTAACGGGGATTAATGCATAGGGTTTGTTAAGCGAAAGTAGAAGCATATAAGAGTAGGCAATTATTTTATATTTTAATTTTTTAAATAATTAATAATTAGCTATATTTTATATACTATTTTTAATAATTTTTACAATACAAAAATAATAATAATTAATTTTTGCTAGAAATGTTCATCAAACCGATGAAATTGATCAAACTGACCAACCCAACCCAACTTGGCCTGAGTTATTCGGTTTTCTAGTATTTTTGGTGGGCTTCAATTCAACAATTTTTCAACCTAACCAAGTCGGGTCAATTTCGGCTTAGCCATTTGTAAATCGACCAAAATCAAACCGACCTAACCATAGATATATATTATGCCAGGTGTTGTGAAACCTTAGCTTTTGGCTATAGAGAAGCAAGTTTGGCTTCGGGCTGGTTTTTTTACTAGTAGTACCTTATTTTTATTTTCATTTACTTCTATTTAATCAATGGAGAAAACTAGAGTTCAGACAAAATGTCCTACAAACTCCAGATGAAACTTGGGGATCTATGGAGACTCTACTTAAGGCAGTGACTATTGTCAAGCTAAATGGGACAAACTATTTGGCTTGGTCTCAATCAATAAAAATCTATATCTATAGTATAGGAAAATGGGGGTACATCACTAGGATTAAGGTAAAAATCTAAGGAAGATGACCCTACCTATGAGAAGTGGATGTAGGAAATTAAATTACACTGTTGTAGGTTAGTTAGTGAATTATATGCAGCCTCATAGCAGTCAACATTACTTGTGGATAGATACTACTAAGGAGGTATGGGACAATGTTAAAGAGACCTAATCATAATGTTTGAATGTTGTTAGGGCTTCTAAATTAAAGAATGATGTGAATAATTTGAGATAGCGGAGAAGCCCTTAGTTGTGCATTTCTCAATACTTTGATGCAGATAGTTTAATGGGAGTGCACAAAAAATGTTGTAACTCATAGCAAACTGGTGGAGAGGAATTGGGTTTTTTGAGTTTTTTACTAGACTCAACCCTGAATATGATATAGTTAGATAGAATATCTTGGTTAAAGAGGATGTGACCCTTTCTTAGGCTTATGCTATGGTCGATAGTGAGGAAAGTAGGAGATTAGTTTAGATTGTAAAAATCTCAATAGATCATTTTGCTAATGCTAGGACGAAGAAGAAAGTGATCACTAAAAGGAATGAGGTTGTAYGTGAATACTACAAGAAACCAAAGCACACAAAAAACACCTATTGAAAGTTGTCTCTAGAGCTTTTACCTCCTAGATTTAAATAATAATAATAATAATGATAGAAAGAGTAAGAATGGAAAAGGGGGCAAGGCTAATGTAGCCACCTCCTTTGATTGTGAAAAGGGGCATTGTGAGGAGAAGTTTGTAAAGGAGCAACTTGTAGTAGCCAGGGCTAAATATGAGAAGTATGGTTGTATCATTAGTCATTTTGTATTTACCTCCCCAGCTTCTACTCCACCTAGTAACAATTCCATTCTGTCAATTTTCAATTTGGTATTCATGCTATTGCATATTTATCAACTTTTATCTAGCCATGGCAAAATATCCTTTGTTGATGGATCTTGCCCCCATCTCAAGCAAGGGAGACATTAGAACCTCAGATTGCCTTAATTTGACCTTTGTATTTCATGTACCAAAAGTTAATACTAATATGATTTCAATTAATAATTTGACTAAATCTTTGAATTGTAGTGTTACACTTCCTTTCTTATTGTGATTTTTAGGACATTACATCTCAAAATGTGATTGGGAGTGGCCATAAGGTGAATGAGTTATATTTGTTTGATACGCTTGAGTAGAACTAAGTATATAAGCTTCTCCAACCAGCGAAAATATGTGATAGATCTTCTCATTGAGACTAGGAAGCTTAGTGCCTTAGTGATAAACCTGCTTCTACTCCTATTGACATGAACCATAAGCTCTTGGCTAATAATGGAGAGCTCTTGACCAATAAGGGAGTGTTTCAAAAATTGTTGAGGAAGCTTCTATATATTTTTATAACACACAACTAGACATTTCCTACATTGTGAGTGTGATTAGCTAGTTTATGCATGCTTGTAGAGACACATATATAGCTGTTGCAGAAAGGGTGTTGTGTTATCTTAAGGAACTCTTGAGAAAGGTATACCTTTTTATAAGTTGGATCATATGAAGTTAGAGGCCTATACAATTGCTAATTGAGTAGGTAGTATAGGTGAKAGAAGATCCACATCGGATTACTATGCCATAGTAGCTAGAAGTATTGTCTCCTGGAGGAGTAAGAAGTAGTTTGTGGTTGCTTGATCTTCAATTGAAGTAAAGTATAGAGCTATGATTCATGGTGTTTTGGAGTTTTTATAGTTCAGATCTCTTTTACAAGAAATGAGAATTTCTTATGGTAGGTTGTTGATGTTGTATTGTGATAATCAAGTTATCATTAACATTTCTCATAACCTAGTTCAACTTGATAGAACTAAACACATTGAGGTAAACAAGTACTTTATACGAGAAAGAGTGGCAAGGGAAAGTGTATTTTCCTTTCAACTCTTTAGAAAAATAGCTAGCAGATATCTTGACCAAGGGAATTCCTAAGGCAAAGCTCCAACACTATATAAGCAAGCTAGGCATGATTGGCATTTACTTGAGGGGGAGTGTAGAGAGATTGGGCCGAGTGGGCCTTAGTTTTGTTTATTTATTTAGTTACTTTATTTCTATTGTAATGGGATTTCTTTATAGGCCTTAAAACATTTAATTTCTTATGTGCCTTGGGTTAGTTGCCTAACTAGGGGCACCCATGTAATTTCCTTGTTTTATTTCATCATATACAAATTGATTAAGGGATAAGAGAGGGGTTCAATTTAGCTCTCTTCTCCTCCCTTTTCTTCCCTTTCCTTCTTTCTCTTGAACAACCTCTTCTTTCTTATTCCTTTCTCCTTTTTTTTCTACTTTACAATTAGGATTATTGTTTTATTATATTTCTTCTAGTAAAATCAAGAAAAGCCTAATACCTAGGCGATCCAAGCTTAACCACACACTTAGTATCATGCCCTTGGTCAAGTATTGCCTAACCCAAGCCTTCATGGATGTTAAATTCACCACCATCACCTTTTCATTGGAGGAAATGATCAATGATCAATCTCGAGAGGGAAAACTCCCCTACTTTACTCTTACAAAAGCATCCCTGCTCGTAAGAGATAAAGAAGAATCTCTTCTTCCAGTCATGGATGGAAGAAGGAGCCTTGAAGAGAACCTTTCTATGGAGCCGAGCAAAGAAGTACCCCTAGCCACTATTTATTGGGTGGACCTTCAAAGCAAAAATGTCTTGATGGCTTGAAATAAGGTCAAGTCCAAAGAGATGATGTTGTGGTAAGTTATAAAGATCAACTTGATTAAAAACCTATAAGAATTTGAGACGAGCTACATCAAGGCTAAGCCATAGTAAAATAGAATCTTGCCAACTTATGGACAAATCAGGAACCTAAGCCCAGGCTGAAGGCTATTGTCATACATTTAAAGCTCGTTGGCATTAACCAGAACAAACTCTTCACGATGTTTAGAGATCAGAGTCTCAAACCCCAACCTTGATTGAGAACTACTAGGGAAACTACTAACATTGTCAAGGCCAAATGGAAGGCTTAACCTTGAGTTAAAACTCAGAGGCGAAAGACATTACAACAATAGAATAGAAAGAAAAGAGGAAAGAACATAGTGAATTGAAAGAAGGGAGTAAAGAGCTTGGAAAGGCTGAAGAGTCCAAAAAACAACTTAAGGAACCAACCTAATTGCACACAAGATGGGAAGACAAATGATAGGAGAATGGGTTTTCTATACCTCCCCTTTTATAGTATGATCAATGTCTTGGATTGTGACTCTTCGTTTCCCTCACTTTAGTATCACCATGTGTCATGTTGAGCTAACCCCTCTGACAGTGCATCAAAAGGGAAAAAAATGACCCTTAAAACTCAAAGGCCTTCTAAAAGATTTTGAATCCATTAAGTGATGTTGTTGTTAAAGGTGAAAATCTCGAATCGACCAGAGTAACCATTTCTCCACAATTGTAATGACCCACTTTATAAATAGTGCATCTTTTTTAAGGTATGACTCTCCCCCAGGTTTATTCTCTACCCTCATTGTTCCTTACATACCTCAACATACCTTATCAACTAATCAAGCTCCTTAGCTCACACTTATTGAACTTGATGGCCTTACCTAAGAAGGGAGGATTGTATTGGGTATGACATCAAACACTTGCTTAAAAAATTAGATATAGGTCTTCTTCAATATATTGAAACTAAATGCAAAAGAATGAAAGGTTTAGTGTATGTGTGTGTGTGTGCAATATATGATTAAAATAGTTATACAAGAAGATTTAACAAGTAAGCTAAATAATAAATTCAAATATTTTGTAGTTAAACAAAGAGTGTAAATAAGTGAATCAAATATCTACAACAATGAAAATTTAAATACTAATGTAAAGCAGGTAGAAAATGTAAACAGAAAACAAAGTAAAATAACTGCTTTTAAGATATTCAGTGTGCTTGTTAAAGTAGTTAGTGAGATGTTAGTTAGAAAATAGACAATGCATATAAGATTTTTATAAACCCCAGTCTATGTCCTTTCCTCAAGAAAACTCTTAAGAGTTTCCACTAAAGCTAATTGGTCTTCCTGGATTCCAACAAGCCTTTACAACCCATAAGATTTACCAGGCTCTAACAAACAATGGATAAACTTTAGAGTGCTATCCCAACTTGGTAGAACTTGTGAGTGCCCACCCAACCTGAATTGGTAGATCTTGCAGGTCTTTACCAAACCTTGATTGGTCTTGTAAGTCATAATCAAAACCTCTACTTGTGTTCTAACCTTGAA